GAGTGGGCCTCATTATTCTATTCGATTTTACTTTGCCTTACCCCCAAAAAGGTTAAGTGAAGTTCGATATCATCCTGAGGCCTATCCACTGAATTGTTAGAAAACGTAACTATTAGTCCTTAGATCACCTTGAGCGACCTAGAGTGACTCAAGTTTTTACTTAAAAATTATTTATATTCCTAAAACTATTTTATATTACTTTTGAATTCAGTTTGTAATTTCCCACTATATGTTTGATTTTTTATTTGGTTTATATTTTTAGGAGGATCTTCTGCTTGTTCAAAAATTCTTATCTGTCCCGTCAGACAAGGAAGCTTCAATCACAACCTGCTCTGCTATAGACGCTCTTTTACATCCCGATCCTTTTCCTCGAATCACATTTGCTGAGGCCATGAGTTATCTTGAGTCTAAAGGGACTAAAGATCTCCATCCATCCGATAATCCAAGCGATAAATGTCTGAGCCGTGAAGATGAACAGAATCTGATTAAGTGGGTCTCTCGTGGAGATATACTTCGCCCTATCTTTCTCACCCACTTTCCGTCCTCCATCAAACCCTTCTATTGCTCTCTAACTTCGCATTCTAAAGACTTAACAGAATCTGTTGATCTCCTGGTGCCTGGAGTTGGAGAACTGGTTGGGGGCAGTGTCAGAGAAATGGATTTTACTAAGCTCAAGGCTAGATGTCCTGGTTTTAAAGAAGGAACACCCTCTGAAAACTATACGACTAATTTGGACTGGTACTTGTCCCTTAGAGGCCTAGGTAATGCGCCTCATGCCGGTTTTGGCCTTGGATTCGAACGTTTTCTTCAGTTTATTTGGTCTGTATATAATATTCGTGACCTGGTACCAATTCCACGTGAAATAGGAAAAATATATCTCTAGTTTTCACACTCGAAATGTACTTTATACTATATTGGGCTAATTATCCGTTGCAAAATCCTTATTTTTCTTCAATTTGTGCTTGTCGGGAGAATTAAAACTTATTGTTGATATTATACTGCTTCGAATACTTGTTAAATCATCAAATATAAGGATTAGTTTTTCTGTCATTGTTATAAAAACTAATGAAGTGGAAAATCTTTCCTTCCATTTCTCTTAAAAACAGGTTTCTAGATTTAAACCTCCATACTCGTAATCATAATTATATGTTCATCAAGAACTTTTTGCTTATATGCGAGTTTATATTATAATTTAACACGTTCCTATGAATAAATTACTTACCAATATTAACTAGCATTAATGCATTGGCAACGTCCTGCTTAAGAAACATAATACTGACATTGCTTATCTTAACTATTTTTGAGTAAAAAGGCTTAAAATAATGTTGGATAATTATTCTTAACCATAATTCCCCTTATTCTTCTCCATTTCCGGTCCAATGCTTAGCATTTGCCAGACTCAGGCTCCCTAATATGATAGATTTCATAACTCCCATAAGTGTGAGTGAAAAAGAGATTCAAAAGAAAACCTGAATTTATAAGCGTTTTATTCACCTACCTAATCTATTTAATCTGGTCCTTCCTGCTAATTAGGACATCAAAAAAATGGTAAACCAC